CCCCCCCCTCCCCACGTATGTTAATTGAATCGTCGAGCCATGCTGAAATCCGATTACCTTCCCGCGCCGGAAATGACGCGGCGGGAAGCGAGTTCCGTTGAATTTGGAAATTTCATTTGGCGTCGCGCGTCGCCTTAAAACGCGAAGCACGCGCGAGCTCGTCCGCACGTGAATAAGCAAGCACTGAATCAACCGTGTTTCCGGTTAAATACGCGTTTTTGCGCGAGACTGAATATCACTTTTGTTATATCGAAATATTCTGACACGCAGCCGGAACGTTCGCACGTAACATCAGTCAGAGTTTCGCCGGGTCGAAATTTCACTTCCACGTTGTCTATTTAGTTCTGTATTAAGTTCTTCTAAGGTCTTGTACTGCACTCCCTTTGTTGGTATAAGTTGGAAATTGCTTTCCGTTGCTTCTCCGCCTGAAGACTTAAGGCAGAACTAAGCAGACTTAATGTAGGACCGAGATTTCGACTCGGGTCGTTACTATCTGTGCAGCAACAGTGTCCAAATGTCTGGTTATTATGAGTACACGGAGGAAAGGAGATGCTGAAAGGAGGATTTGGTAATAATTAATTACTAAAATCTGGTGAATATTCGCCGAGCAAATATCTGATTATTGCAACCAAATTACTTAGTTCCGTGTAATAAATATGTAATATACGGAATTACAGTGCTGCATATGCAGCATGAGGAACTAAATTATTTCGTTGCAGTAATCACGTGTTTGCTCGGCAAATATTCACAAAATTTTAGTATTTATTAACGATACTTATAATCAAATACCCCGACACGCAACTGGAGCATTTTGGTGTAATACCGGTTGAAGTTTTCTTTACCGTGTGCATAGCAATAATATTTAAGTGTCTGGTTGTTGTAACTACACGGGAAAAAAGAGCATATTTGATACATTAGGTGCACATATTGCGAGATATGACTTTATTAACACACTTTAAGAGTACAAGTGGCTAAGAAAATAACAGCTACATAGTAAAAAATGTTGTGTCAAGAACGGTCCACTGAAATTTTATGTTATTTTAACGCATGTATTGACAAGGTAAATATGCTAATTTAACATTATATTTGTGTACTTTTTATCACATATTTGTGTAATTTTTAATTCCTCATATTAAACTGACACAAAATTTCAGTGAATCGTTTTTGATGCAAAATTGTTTACTGTGTATTTCCAAATATCTTACGCGTCTGAATCCCAGGCATTCGTCTCGATATTGGTGTTATATAATGTATATAATATAATGCTCAGCAGATTTATCAATGAAAGAAGTGGCGAAATAACACGGATAAAATAGATGACTGACGAGAGGTCCCAGAATCGATTCCATCGGGATAGACGTGTTATTCAAATAAAATATATCATTAAATCGATTAAATAGCTAATCTCAGACAATATATCGTCATATAACAACGCCTAACGAAACAAGTAACAAAATTTCCAATTGAAAATATGAATAAGATTTTATTATTGTTGTGAGCATCCAAATTAGTCCGGTTACGTTAAGCAGCACGGTATATAATCAAATTTGTCAGTTACCTTAATAAAAATTATAGATTACTCTTATTCCACCGAACACGGTGATTAATATATCCATATTTCAGATTAACTCAATCTTATTCCATCTTTCAATCGTTTTCTTCCGTGCAGGGAAATCTACCGACGTGACCGATTGAGTCGAATTATCTCCCCTCCCGAAATAAAAGGGAAAAGTCACGAGAATCACCGTTTTCCGGATGAGAATAACGATTTGATTTCGTGCGCTCGAGTAAGACGGCCCGTCGTATCCTCGATCGTTCGCACCGTCGCGAATAAGCTCGCGCTTTAAACACTCCCGGCGGCAAATGTTTGCGTAAGATAGTCGCGTCCGAAAAGAGAAGTGAGTATAAAAGTGGAAAAGAGTAACGTTAGCAATTGCGAGACGAGCTCCGCAAATATTTTCGCTCGGAGCGCGCGCGCGCGGATTCTATTTTCCAGCGGAAGAGCCTGCGGGGGTGGGGATCGATCTTCTCATAAATTCGATTATAGGGCCAAATTGAGAGCCGCTTGCACGATGAAATCGCGCGCCGCTGCGACACTCTCCCTCCCTCCCCCCTTCCCTTTGTTCCCGCGAATACGCCTGACGATTGTCTGTCGCCGAGTATCGCGAATTAAGGCGGTCGATCCGTGACAATATTGTTAGAAAGATAATAAGATAATGGTTGGAAGGATAATGATTAAGATAACATGAAGAAGCTCGACGGAATCGGTATGCTGAATGCTTATAACCATGATTCATGATGTACAATTTTGACGCTCTAACAAAAGAACATCAGTTCAAACTTACATAACGTTTAAAAACTTACGAAGAAATTTTCTTCCACTTTTTCCACACTTCGACGTATAATACTTTCAACTGAAGCTGCCTGTGTTCGGCACACGATACATCATTAATTATCAATTATATTTTATATTTATTAATATTAATTATAGATTTCTAAGATTACTTAACCGTTCTACCTTTAAAAAGATGCCTACATAAAAACATAGCGCGAACAATATTTCCCGAAACTTGACAGATTAGCTGTCATATTCTTCGACCGTTATCAAAAAGGAGATACATATCGATTTCCGAAGAACTAGATCTTGAAAAGCTAGATCGACGATCTTATCATTTTTCTCATATAATATTTCTACAAATCTTTTTGATCGACTTCTCGGTTTTCACTAAAACCGTAAAAGGAGTCTCATTACTAGAATTAGAAACGTGATATCGGAAGCCTTTTTTGTGATTTACGTACCCGTGACGTATCCCAGATAACACTAAGACGTCATAAAGATGTCTTTCAAGCGATAAGACATCTAAAAGACATATTTGAGACATTTATTAGACATACGTGTTTGGGATGTAAATAGCGCTAATTTCGACCCCGATTTTCTCGGCTTCGTTGACCTGTTTTTTCCTACCATTGCATGCGTTTCGATTAACATACCGTTAAAACTTGAAACGATCCCTAGGAAGGTAAAATCACGGGCCAACGGCCTTAAAGCGACGGTGACATACGCGGAACGAGCCCTCCTCCCTTCAGGGCTCGGCGACGCCTTCGGGGGTAGAATGCAATTGGCGTGCGCCGGGCAAACAAGAATTCGTTGCGAGTTCGCGACAATAGCTGCCAGTGGAGACAATAGGGGACAATAGATGCACTGCGGCGCGGGGTCGCTCGAATGCGTCTCCCTTTAAGCTCAAAGTGGCATCCAACCCCGGCTTCGGTGTCGTATAAATGAGAAAACGGTCGAGCGATTTAAGTGGCCGGCCCGTCTCTCTGTGCGCCTCCCGGGTATCCCCCGCGATACTGCGCCGCAAGAACATTCTCTCGGATGGAGGATCATCCCCCGGACCGTGCACGTATGCACAAAGGTGCGCCCCGGGAGCTTAATCTCGTATGTGTGCGAAAATTATCGCGTCAAGCACACCGTCCGCCTCCCCGGCGACTCGGGAACTTTTTTCATCACCCGCGACAACGCACACCGTGTGATGCATTCTGCGCCGTTCGAGGAGGGAAAGAACCCGCGTGAATCTTCATATTCGACGAGTTTCCTCGTAATTTACCACGGGACTCCCGTGATTCGCTCGCTAAAGGCCACACCGGAACCAACGTTCCGGTGACAAAATTCTAGCTTTATGTTCGATCTTTAATTCTACAACACAGTGGTGACAAGATAACTATATATATCATTTCAATTCAAATATTATAATTTATATGATATATCGTTTCGATTCAAGTAATATGATTTATATTCCCACTTTGACTCTAATGTTTTAAATTTCTGTTCCCGCTGGTTTTGGGATCAGAAAACAGGTTGTTCGGTGTTAAATTTAGAATTAAATTTATACACGGAGAAAGCTTGGTTGAGTTATGCAATCTGAAATATGGATGTGTTAACCGGACTGTTTGGTAGAATATGAATGACTTTTATTAAAATTATCAGACAGATTTTACTACATACGTTCTGTTTAACGTACATACAAACTTAGATATGCGTAACAAAATTATATTTATATATATATTTCCGTGATTATATATAGAAATGTTATTACTTGTTTTTTAAGATGTTAGTATATGATAATGTGTTACCTAGAATTTAATTAATTCCATTTAATTAATTCGATGATATATCGTATTTGAAAAACATACCCACCCTCAACCTTAGCGATCCTGGGACCTCTGAATCGTGAGTCATCTACCGTATTATGCCGCTTCTTTAACTAATAGACATATATTATACTATGTATGTATAGTATAATCAATGTCGAGCCGAATGCTTGAGATTTACGCGCGTGAAATGTTCAACAATAGCTGTTATTTTCCTGTGCCAGGTTCCACCATCACGGTTTCAATCCAATCGGAGACTAACTCAACAGAATTGACAAATCGCACTGGCCAGTCAGCTAAAATGATCAATGTGATCGATTATAGATTTAAACCACAATAAGGGAACCAGACGTTAGCCACTCATTATATGCCACATATTAATGTCTGTTAATGAAGTTATATCTCGCAATGTATCTACCCAAGCACCACACACGCTCTATTTTCCGTGTAGTCATTACTGTTCAGTATTACAGTTAAATATTC